TGAGCCACCGCGCCCGGCCTTATTTTTTTTTTAAGAGATGGGGTTTCACCATGTTGGCCAGGATGGTCTCTGTAAGGGTAGCCGAGAGAAAGGAGAATAGACCCAAAGTCAGGCAAGAAAGTTTTATTAACCTGCCGTAAGTCAGAGGAGGTAGCCCTGAGCTTACGAAAAGAGTGGTTTATGTGGGGTGAGGGGGGCATAAGGGGGTTTTAGGACAGATATAATCTATCCGCTGGTAACAGGCACAGAGATAATTTGTTAACTTGTAACAGACCTACAATACATTATCCTGTGACTTTTGTGGTGGCAGTCTTTTTAAAAAAGAGAGAAACTAGAAGTTTTTTTTTACAGATATGTGTCAAACAGAAATTTACAAGTATGGACAACCCACTTATGTTTTCCCTATCCTCCCTGGAGCTGCCTGGATGGCTGCAATCAGGTTTTGCTTCATTGCAGCACGTCTGGCAGGCTTGATGTAGCGCCTAGGTAGGGGTTTTGGAAAGCAGTTGTAGAGCAATCAGAGGGCGGAAAGGGGTCAGCCTGCGCCAAGGGGGTTTTCTTGTCCCTAACAGTCTCTAACTCCTGACCTCATGATCCGCCCGCCTTGGCCTCCCAAAGTACTGTGATTACAGGCGTGAATTACCGCACCTGGTCAAATAACTTTGTATTATTTACCCATTTTATTGTTGATGAGCATTAGGGTTGTTTTCTGTTTGGAGCTAAAATGAATAACATAGCCATCAGTAGTTGTGTACGTGCATTTTGGCACACTTGAATTGTACTGTAGCTTCTGTGCCAACTTTTCCCTTCCTATGGCCTTCTGTGGGCACCTCCTCGCCTTCCCACATGATTCCCATGGTTGCCCATGACTGCTTCCGGCCCCCTCCAGTGACTCTCCTCGGTGGTCCTCTGAACTACGGACTCAGCCACTCCCTTGTGGTTTCTTTCTCAGCGGCAGCTTTGCAATCTTGCCCTGCAAGATTGGTGCTCCCCAGATCCAGGGTCCTAAAAACCCTTTGTGCATCCTCAATGGGCATTACCATCTTCATGCTAATCAGCATCAAATCTGTCTCTTGACTACACCCCCAGACAATCCACCAATACCAAACGGAGCTCCTCAAATCCCTCCAGGAATTATGCCTCCAATTGTTGAAATGTTACATCCACCCAGGTGCTTAAGTCATTACCTAAGAATCATTCTAGCCTCCTCCCTTCCCTCTAGCCCCCTACAATCTTAACTGTCAATTATCAAAATCCAATGAGATCTACCTACTTCAGCGCTCCCAGGGTCATTCCCTTCCTTGGGACTCTGAGGCCCCCACCTTGCTTCACAATCTCCCAGACTTTTGGACAGCCTCCTCCTTGTTCCTCAGGCCTCCCCATTCTCCCCCACTGATCCACCCTACAGCAAGTCTGATCCAGTTATCACATACCCTCCACACCCTCCACTTCCACAGGATAAGGCCAAACCCTTCAGCCAACTCCAATCCTTTCAAGAACTGTCCCCTGTGTCGTGCTTGGGTCCCTCACAGTCACTCTCATGTGCCCATTCTAGAAGCGACTGAAGCAACTCGGGAGTAGTTCCCGGCAAGTGCAGCGTTCCTCCTCAACTCCTGGCTGCTGAGGGCCCTTTCCTTAGAAAGCACTTCCCCCTGCCCCCAAGCTCCCCTTCTCCGACAACCTTTACCTTCAGCTTTAATATCCCTTGGGACGTGCCCCCACCACACTGCCTTCCCTGTCCCCACCCCTCTTCTAGGTGCCCACCAGCCTTCCACAAACCACAGCTATTGTCATGGTAATAATTATGCTTTATGCTCGGTGGACCAGAGCTCCCTGAGGGCAGAGATTGTGGCATTATTTCAAGCCCTGAATTTGTTCTAGGAATCCCTGAATAAACATGTGTTGGATGAATGAATGCAGTAACAGGAATGCTGAGCCAAGTATTACTACACAAAACACAGTAGGAGAGGAAAGTATTCAGAGATATGACAGGGAGAACTATTTGAAACAGTGGGACCACAGACCATGTGAACTGTGCAGAGAGGCCTAAATAGCCTGGGGTTTCTGGAGGGAAAGGGGGTTCCTGGGTGGTGGAGCACTTGTGAGCAGAAAAGGAGATGAATCCTGAGAGGGAGGTGCCTCACTGTGAAGGGTCTGGTGTTGGGGCCAAAGGACTGGGGCTTCCACCTGTCCATCATAGCTTTTCAAACTGTAGATTGCATTTTTTTGTTTTTTTTTTGGAGACGGAAGGGAGGGGTGGGGGAGTCTCATTTTGTTGCCCAGGCTAGTCTCAAATTTGAGGGCTCAAGCAATCCTCCCACCTCAGCCTCCCAAAGTGTTGGGATTATAGGCATGAGCCACTACGCCCAGCAGTATGTTGCAATTAAATCATGCACCTATGGCTCTCATAAAACAATTCTAGGGCCGGGCGCGGTGGCTCAAGCCTGTAATCCCAGCACTTTGGGAGGCCGAGGCAGGTGGATCACGAGGTCAAGAGATCAAAACCATCCTGGTCCACATGGTGAAACCCCGTCTCTACTAAAAATACAAAACATTAGCTGGGCATGGTGGCGCGTGCCTGTAATCCCAGCTACTCAGGAGGCTGAGGCAGGAGAATTGCCTGGACCCAGGAAGCGGAGGTTGCGGTGAGCCGAGATCGCGCCATTGCACTCCAGCCTGGGTAACAAGAGCGAAACTCCGTCTCAAAAAAAAAAAATAATAATAATTCTAGGAGCTGTCACAGGTGCAGGGGCTATCAGAGTAAATATGGCCACCTAGAAAATGGGGATAATTCCTATGTCACAGAGTTGTAAAGATTAAATTAATTAATACAGATTAACACACCAGGAACAGTATTAAGTGCATAAGCGCTATGTAAACTTTAGCTATTATTTACTATTATTGTATTTGCCGTTATTACTCTCTAGGACCTCGCAGGGGGCTAGGAAGTGGTGGGAAAAAAAGAAATGATGCTAAGAGCATCCAATAAGGTCTAGACTGGAGATGAGCAAAGAATGCTGAGGCCCATAGCACAGGCTGTACTGCAGGGTTCAAGTCCCATGAGGCCGGCAGCACCTAGGGGCTGTTAGCCCTCCAGAGTTGGGGCCTGATGGTCGAGTCCAGTCCTAGGGGTCATTTCATTCCCTCCTTCATTATAAATTGGGGCCTGGAGGCCCGGGGCGGAAGAAAGGGGTCCACAAAACTGCACGGTTAGAGGCCGAGCCAAAGCTGGATCCGGCCAGACTTCCACAGGCCTTCCTTAGCCTCCACATTCCCTCAGGGTGTGGGGCGCCGGGTAAGCGGGGCGAGGTGGCGGAGGCCCAACGGGGGCCGAAGGTGACCGGACTGCTGCTCGCGGTGGGAACTACGCTTCCCAGCATGCAACGGGGCAGAAGGACCTTTGAGCCGCGATCAGCGCCTCGCAGGTTCTGCTGGGAGTTTTCATTGACCTCTGAGCACCCCCTCATTTCGATCCGCGCTCTTCTGCTCTAGGCTCCGCCCCCTTCTGAGACAGGATGACCTGGCAAGAGTCCCGCGAGCTACTTCCTTCTTCCTCTCTCATTGGCCCAGCCTGGCTGCCATTCGGGTGCGAGAAGGAGAAGTTGCTTACTGATTGGTGGATTCCGTTTGGCGCCAACTAGGAAAGGGGGGCGGGGCAGCAGCCGCCCCCACTGAGCTGCTATTAGAGGGAAAGGCCCGCTTGGCTGCGACAGTCTGAGGAAGAGGTGGAGGTTAGCTCAGTTATCTGCTACCCGGAGCTGGGCAAGCGGGTAGGAGGACAGCGAAGACAGTGTGAGCCCGGGCCGTTGCCTTGAGGCTCCCGTCCGCCTTCTCTTGCTGATCCGCCGCGTTTGTTTGGATTTAATCTTCAGGTTGCCGGCGCCCGCCCGCTGGCCTCGCGGAGTGAGAGAGAAGCACCCGTGCTTGTGGCTGGCGCCTGGAGGGTCCGCACACCCGCCCGGCCGCGCAGCTTGCCCGAGGCAGCCGCGTCCCTGAACCGCGGAGCTGTGTTTGTGTTTGACCCGCGGTCGCCGGCGGCGCGCGGCGGAGGCCGGTGTCGGTGTCGGCGGGGCGGGGCAGGCGCGGCGGAGGCGGAGGAAGAGGCAGCGGGAGCCCTGCGAGGCCGGGCGCCGCCATGGAACTGGGTCCGGAGCCCCCGCACCGCCGCCGCCTGCTCTTCGCCTGCAGCCCCCCTCCCGCGCCGCAGCCCGTCGTGAAGGCGCTATTTGGCGCACCCGCCACCGGGGGACTGTCGCCTGTCACCAACCTGACCGTCACTATGGACCAGCTGCAGGGGCTAGGCAGGTAAGGAAAGACGGGTGGGCGTCCCCCAGACCCCTGGCCTCGGCCTCGGGGAAATCAGGCCACGAAACGGACCGGGAGAGGGACAAGACCCGCCTGTCCGAGTTCGCCGCTCGGGGGCAGCCAGACTAGGGCCCGCCATGTGCACCCCACCGGGGCGGAATGTTCAGCGGGAGAGGCTGTCCAGACCTCCCAGGGGAAGAGGTGGAGGTCCTCGGGCCTAAACCCGAGCCAGGCCCACCTTCACTCCTTTCAGATTGCTGCCTACTCTTCTTCTGTCTTTATCCCTGGAAGCTCTTTGGAATCTATACCCTCGGGGCAAAATCAGACCCTTCTAGGCGCTCACTTCCACCCTTTGCTGAACCACCTCGCAGGATCTTAGTTTGCTGTGAGCCTTGCTCCGTCTCAACAAAGGGCCATGGCATTTTCCTTCCTGGCGTTTATGCAAAATCATCTCAGTCCCTCGCCCCGTGTACATTCCTGATGTCCACTCTGCTGCTTTCCTAAGGCCGGGTCTTTTTTACCCAACTTTCGGAAAGCGTCCTGGGCTTTTCCTGAGAGCAAAAAATGCATCCCACAGTGTTTCCGGCGGAAGAGCTACCTTCCCCTTCAGTCTCTGGGATCCTGTTTTCTAAGCACATGTCTTGTGCGTTTTCCAACTTCTGAAGAGCAGGAAGTGCCCTGTTTAACTTTCATCCCGACTTCTGTCACAGTACCGAGAACACAGACTCTTATTTTAGGAAATACCCCAACATTACCCCTAGCCGTCATATCCTGCAATGTGACCCAAGGCCATGCCCAGCCTCCCCTTTTTCTCCTTTTCCCAAGTGCTAATTGGGTGTTCAGAGTGGCTAAGTGGGTACTTTGCCACTCGTGCTGTGGCCTAGAAATGGTTTATGGCAGCCTGGCTGCTTGGTAATTTCATGGCCTGTTTCCTGCATGTGACCTTTTAATTATATCCTGGAAATCACTCATGGGTTTAATAATTTCTTTTGGTTTCAGTGATTATGAGCAACCACTGGAGGTAAAAAACAACAGCAATCTGCAGAGAATGGGCTCCTCCGAGTCAACAGATTCAGGTATTTAAGTCTGCTGTGTGGGGTGCAATACTGTGAATTTCCTGAAACATGCCTTTCTACCTGGGAAGTTAGTTTTGGTGAGAACTTAAGGGAGTCATGGCACTGGGTGATAAACATTAAGAATAATTCATAGCCAGGCGCAATGGCTCACGCCTGTAATCCCAGCACTTTGGGAGGCTGAGGCAGGCGGATCACAAGGTCAGGAGTTTGAGATCAGCCTGACCAATATGGTGAAACCCCGTCTCTACTAAAAATACAAAAATTAGTCAGGCACAGTAGCAGACACCTGTAGTCCCAGCTACTTGGGAGACTGAGACAGGAGAATCCCTTGAATCCAGGAGGCGGAGGTGGCAGTGAGCCGAGATCCTGCTACCACACTCCAGCTGGGGTGACAGAGCGAGACTCCATCTCAAAAAAAAAAAAAGAACAGTACAAAGGACCCCTTGTAGTTTATGAGGAAAGGAAATAGGTTCCAAATGTCTGTAAGGAGGTGGTGTGTGCTTGCCCTTGAAGGACGGGTAGTAAAGCAAAATTCATCATACCACGGTAAGTGGCATTCAGGCAGTCTTACTGGTTATAATACAGGGTCAAATTATTGGAAATACAGTGTAATGAAATCATTCAGTGATGCCGCTATGGAGGAAATTGCCAGTGCATTTCATTCTTCGTGAATTCATATTACTGCAGAGTTTATCCGTGTTTGTACAGATAAGAGCATTGGGGCAAAGATGCTTTAGGTTAAAAGAACTGCTAGAGCAAAAGTCTTAAAATGTAATGTAGGCTTCTGTATGTAGAATGTAATTTAATACAGAACTGGGAATAGGATTATTGTTTGTAGCACTGTGGAGCAAGGGCTCTAACACCTAACTTCCTGTAAGTCTACATAGACATGGAGACATGCGAGCTAAGGGCTGATGGGTCTGAGTCATCTGAATTGGCATATAAGTAATTTGGAACAGTGTCTCCTTCACCCTGCTGTTTTTTGTGAGATGGACATCTTACTTGGTGTCACTTTGTTAAAGGCAACAAATGCTTGCGTTGCATGTCATGACTAGCAGTTGTATTTTTCTTTTTCTTTTTGAGACAAGGTCTCATTCTGTCACCCAGGCTGGAGTGCAGTGGCTCCATCTTGACTCACTGCAACCTCTGCCTGCCAGGTTCAGGTGATTCTCCTGCCTCAGCCTCCCGAATAGCTGGGATTACAGGCGTGGGCTACCATACCTGGCTAATTTTTGTATTTTTAGTAGAGACAGGGCTTCACCATGTTGGCCAGGCTGGTCTCAAACTTCTAACGTCAGGTGATCTGCCTGCCTCAGTCTCCCAAACTGCCGGCATTACAGACATGAGCCATTGCACCTGACCTCTTGCTCTGTTATCCAGGCTTCAGGCTGGAATGCAGTGGCACAATCAGGGTTCACTGTAGTTTCAACTTTCTGAGCTCAAGCGAACATCCCACCTCAGCCTCCCCAAGTAGCTGGAACCTTGAGGCAGGTACCACCACACCCAGCTAGGTTTTGGTTTTTTTTTTTTTTTTTTTTTTTTTTTTTTGGAATTTTGGTAGAGACACTTATTGCTATGTTGCCCCAGGCTTGTTTCAAACTCCTGGCCTCAAGCCACCTGCCTGCCTCAGCCTCCTGAATTGCTAGGATTACAGGTGTGAGCCACTGAGCCTAGCCTAGTAGTTGTATTTTTCAAACTCCATATGACTTGACAATTTAAAATATTTAAAACTATGCCAAGAAAATCTGGTACCTATTCTTTCTGTGCTTGGAACTCAAAGTTATCTGGGTCACCTCTATCTGAATAACCAATCATGATATGAATCCGTTTTATTTACCCTCTCCTCAAATCCTATTTCCCTTGATGTTATTTGCAAGTAGGAGAAAAATAGTAAATATACTATGAAAATATTAAGACTTGCACAAACATGACATTTTTGACAAGCAGTAGAGACTTGACATCAATTCTGGCAAAAGTACAAGCCATGAGTATTTGTTGCCTGACAAAAAACCCGAGCACTTTCTTTAGTGTTTTTATTTTAATGACAAAATGGTGTTTTTTGCATTATTTCTTGAGAATTTTTTTTTTTCCCATAGGATTCTGTCTAGATTCTCCTGGGCCCTTGGACAGTAAAGAAAAGTATGTATTAACTGCTTTTCAGTGTTTATGCTTAGAAAAAAAACTTGTCTAAATTTAAATACCTTATTTAAATGAAGTTCTTCATACACTGGACAGGAGCCCTGGATTTAGCTGTCCCTAGAAACTCTCTGGAATCTTGAGAATGATTAGTTTGTGTCAGCAATTTTCAGAACTTTTTCTCCTTTATTCAAGCTGTAATGTTGGTGTTCTGTTCGTGTTTTACCCAAGCCCTTATTTACACTCTGACATCACAGCCTCGCGAGAACATGGTTTTTTTTGTTTGTTTGTTTGTTTTGTTTTTGAGATGGAGTCTGGTTCTTTCACCCAGGCTGGAATGCAGTGGCTTAATCTCAGCTCACTGCAACCTCTGCCTCCCCGGTTCAAGCAATTCTTCTGCCTGAGCCTCCTGAGTAGCTGGGATTACAGGCACATGCCACCACGTCTGGCTAATTTTTGTATTTTTAGTAGAGATGGGATTTCACCATGTTAGTCAGGCTGGTCTCAAACTCCTGACCTCATGATCTGCCCACCTTGGCCTCCCAAAGTGCTGGGATTGTAGGCATGAGCCACCATGGCTCACTGCAGCCTCTACCTCCCAGGTTCAAGGAATTCTCCTGCCTCGGCTTCCCAAGTAGCTGGGATTACAGGTGTGCACCACCATATTGGGTTAATTTTTGTATTTTTAGTAGAGAGGAGGTTTCATCGTGTTGGCCAGGCTGGTCTCAAACTCCAGAACTCAGGTAATCCACCTGTCTTAGCCTCCCAAAGTGCTGGGATTACAAGTGTGAGCCACCTCACCTGGCCGGACATTTGTATTTTAAAAAAAGAGATGGGTTTGTTTTTTTCACATTGAAGCCTAGTGTTGGGGGTGCTCCTAAGAACAGGGCAGTTTCAGAAATTTAATCTCCCGTCTCTTACCTAAAATGGGAATCTGTGACTGCACCCCCAAACTACAGGCTAAACACTGTCTCTCTGCTTATATGAATACCGTTTTACTTGTTTTATCCTCACTATTTACCTTCTGGTCTCATTACAGCCTTGGAAATCCCATGAGAAGAATAAATTCCCTACCTGTAAGTTAGTTTCCTGGTTTATTTTGAGCTAATACCTGTTATCCGTTCCTTAGCTACCAGCATGACCTTGATAGGAGACCTTAGAGAGTGAAAACTGCTCTTTTTTTGTGTTTGTTTTCTTTTCTTTTAGAGACAGAGTCCTGGAGTGCAGTGGCACAATCTCGCCTCACTGCAACCTCCACCTCCTGGAGTCAAGCGATTCTCCTGCCTTAGCCTCCCGAGTAGCTGGGACTACAGGCACCCACCACACCCGACTAATATTTGTATTTTTATTAGAGATGGGGTTTCACCATGTTGGCCAGGATGGTCTCAATCTCCTGACTTTGTGATCCACCCGCCTCGGCCTCCCAAAGTGCTGGTATTACAGGCGTGAGCCACTGTGCCCCGCCAAAAACTGCTTTTCTTTAGTCTCTTCTTGAGACAGGGTCTTGCTCTGTCACCCAGGCTGGAGTCCAGTGACAGAATCTTGGCTCATGGCAACCTCTGCTTCCCTGGCTCAATTGATCCTCCCATCTCAACTTCCAGAGTAGCTGGGACTATATATAGGTGTACACCATCACACCCAGCTGATTTTTGTATTTTTTGTGGAGATGGGGGTGTCTCACTTTGTTGCCCAGGCTGGGTTTGAACTCCTGCCTCGGCCTCCCAAAGTGCTAGGATTACAGCCAAGAGCCACCATTCCCAGCCTTTCCTTAGTCTCATAAGTACTCAAGATGCTCTGCCTGAATTTGTCCTCCATCCCAAACAGCTTTATCAAACCAGGAAGGGTTCTTTTGATGCAAATGTTATTTGGGGATTGGTTTGGCACTATACTTCCTGCTGAGAGGGGTAAACCTTGTGAGTTTAAGGTGTAAACCCATGGAATGGAAACATTTATGCTGTGTCCTGGCGAGGTGGAGCCCTGGTCACATTTACTGGTTACCTACTGCAGTGTGTGAGGAGCTAGCTTAGCTAGCCTACCTACTACCCAACCCCTCTTTTTTTTTAATTTTGACAACTGAATTTTCTAATGGAATTTTATTTCTGTACCTTAATTATTTTCTTTTTTCACTTTGATAGCAGAAGCTCTTGGGATGTAGCCCAGCTCTGAAGAGGAGCCATTCTGATTCTCTTGACCATGACATCTTTCAGCTCATCGACCCAGATGAGAACAAGGAAAATGTGAGTAAGAGTTCAGTGTTCTAACCTGAGGCAGAGGTGAAACCCACAGGCTGTCAGTGGCTTAGAGCGTGGCTGGGCTGCTTTCTGAGAGACTAAACCTTGAGTGTTATGTACAGTCTTTGGAGTCAGAGAAACCTGGGTTTGGATCCCTCTTACTGTGTAACACTGGCAAATTCTTCTCTTTTTAATATTTTTTGTTCTTTTGTAAAATAGGAGTAGTAATACCTTTTAGGGATTAAAAGGTGGCAATAAGTAAGATAATGTATAAAACATTTAAAATGGTGCCTGACAGGCAGGAGTTGCTCAGATGGTAGCTCACAGGAGTCATTACATGTACAAATAATTTGTCTAGAAGGCTCCGATCAGGCTGTCCTTGCCTCCTTGCCCTGACCCTGAAATGAATTGTAAGCTTAGGAAAAGGCTCTTTGGCAGTACTTGAAAGAACAGGGCCAACAAGTTCTAGGGAATTGAAGAGTAACTGAAATGGTGGCTTGGAAGGTGAATCTGTGGTTGTCTAGCCAGAATGCGCCTGAGTTTTTTGTTCTCTTAGACATGGCACAGAGTAGGCATCCAAAACAGTTGTAATGTTTTCAGTCTTCTCTCTACTATATTTCTATATATTTAGTTTCTCCCCTTTTCCATTCCTGCTAAAAATGCCACAGTTCATAATGCTTACAATCTTCCAGGTTTAGTGTAAAACCTACTGCCTCCATGAACTCACCTGATGATTTCTTTATCAACTTGGGAAGTGTCATGAGAAAGACTGTGGAAATGAGTTCCTTCCTTGAGTGCTTAGAACAGTGCATCAGCCTCTGTAGTCCTTTTTACCAGGGCAAAGCTGTACAACATTATGCTTGTAAGAATCGTCCATATTGAGTATACCACTAGGCCTTTTTTTTTTTTTTTTTTATTGCTTTTAGTATAGGATAGAATAATAATAATTATTATTATTGTTATTATTATTTTTGAGATGGAGTCTCGCTCTGTAGCCCAGGCTGGAGTGCAATGGCACAACCTCCACTCACTACCACCTCTGCCCTCCAGGTTCAAGTGATTCTCCTGCCTCAGCCTCCCAAGTAGCTGGGACTACAGGAGCACACCACCATGCCCGGCTAATTTTTGTATTTTAGTAGAGATGGGGTCTCACCATGTTGGCCAGGGTAGTCATGAACTCCTGACCTCAAGTGATCCACCTGCCTTGGCCTCCCAAAGTGCTGAGATTACAGGCATGAACCACCATGTCCAGCCAAATAATTTTAAATTGAAAAAATTATCTCCAGTTGGTAGGAAGAGGTGGAAAATATGAAGCCCTCAAACAGATGGATCTAGATGGAAAATTTTGACTACTACTCATAGGCAACTATATTAGATTTTATTTATTTTCACTTTAGATTTCAGAAAGTTTAGGATTTAGCATATCATTCATTGTGTTTTATGTATTTGGCAGGTACTTGTGTTAGGAAATGCAGTATGACAAGAAAATGTTACTTTAGAAGTTAGCTGTTGACAGAGCCTTGGAAATTCTTAGTTATACAGATCCAGTGTTGAAATTAGGTGAAACTTGAATTTTGAGCAGTTAGAAAGGTGATCGGTGCCCACTCCCTTGCCTCTTTAACACAAGCCGAGGCCCTAGAGCTGGTTTTCATGGACAGTAGAAGATGTCTCGACTATGTCTTGCAGGAAGCCTTTGAGTTTAAGAAGCCAGTAAGACCTGTATCTCGTGGCTGCCTGCATTCTCATGGACTCCAGGAGGGTAAAGACCTCTTCACACAGAGGCAGAATTCTGCCCCAGCTCGGATGGTATGTGCTCTGGCTCTCATAGAGGAATTACTGACAGGAAGAAAGGATTAAAACACCCTCTGTAATCCAGAATTGAAGGCACTACAGTAGCGCTAGCTGTCTTTACCTTGACTTTGTCTTTTGAAACTAGACTATCAAACATTCTTGGTGGTTTTGCTGTGTCTGGAGAGTAGACAGACTGTAGTTAGAGCAGGAGATGTTGTTTGAAATATTGGACTTCTGTAAGGAATATTTGACCTTGTTAATCTAGGATATCCTGGGGTCATCCTAAATGTATGTATGATGGGATTACATTTCTTACTTTTTTTTTTTTTTTGAGGGGCTTTCTGGTAAAAACTGCAAAGCCTACCAGGCAAATTCTAAAAGAGTGTCACACTAGGTCTCTTACTTAAAACTTGCTCTTTTACTATGCATTCTAAGTGCTTCTCAAAGAATGATTTTGTTGGAGAGAGAGCACTTGACTTCTTCCAAAGGTGGTTTGTTAAGAACTGTTATGGGCCAGGTGCCATGGCTCATGCTTATAATACCAGCACTTAGGAAAATGGAGACAGGATAATCACTTTGAGTCCTGGGCAGCATAGTGGGACCCACATCTTTTTTTTTTTTTTTTTTTTTTTTTTTTTTAATAACTATTATGGATTCCAGTGAACACTCAGACTGCTGGACAGTTTTGGAGTCACTTGTTTTAGGGCTGTGTATTTGCCAGACAGAGATTGTCATTACTTCCAAAGTTTCCTGCTGTTGGTCTGAATTGAATTAACTGATATCATCTGTTGACTGGAGAGGCCCAACTTGAGCAAGATAACCACATTTGGCTTCCAGGTTTTCCTAGATTCTTAAATCTGAAAATACACCTTTCCAGTCTTGCTTGTGTTCTAAGGTTCAGCCAGTATTGCTACTCTGTCTAGCATTTGCACAAAGCACTTATATATGTTCTTGTCTTGTGAAGTAAGTGGAGTTAACCCCCTTGACAGATTAGGAAAGTACCACAAGAGAGGTTTACCAACGATACGTAAATAGGAGACCAGGATTTAATAATCTCTGGCTGGGCGTGGTAGCTCATACCTATAAGCCCAACACTTTGGGAGGCCAAAACAGAAGGATCACCTGAGGTCAGGAATTCAAGACCAGCCTGGGCAACATAGTGAGACCCTATCTGTACAAGGTTAACAAGCTGAGTGTGGTGGCTTGTTCCTATAGTCTCAGTTACTTGGGAGGCTGAAGTGGGAGGATTGCTCGAGTCCAAGAATTCGAGGCTGCAGTGAGCTGCAATCATGCTACTGTACTCCAGCCTGGGCAACAGTGAATCCCTGTCTCAAAAAGCAGTCTCTGAATTCCCAAGTACACAGTAACACTTTAAGAGTTG